AACAACGAAAAAATCCCCGTTCGATCTAATGTAAGGGCGCGTGCCACGCCTGCCAGTCGATCAAGAGATTGGTTTGTGGGAAGACCGGCGGATGAACAGGCGCGAATTAGCAGAAGCTTGGAGAGTGGCCAACCAAAACTTGGCGAACGCACAAGAAGTTTCTAAGGAGCAGTTAACCGCAAAGCTATCGGATCGAAATGCCGTGTTTGAAATTGGTTTGAAGGTTAAGTATAGGGACCGGCGGAGTCCGGGTGCAACAGGACCCGGATCTAGGAAGTTCCTGGCAAAGTGAAGGGGACCTTGTGTGGTATTGGACCACCGTGGTCCTGTGTATCTGATTAAGAATGAGAAGAATCAACATCGAGTGAATGGAAGCCAGCTTTGTGAATGGTATGACATCCCGAGCAGAAGAGAATGTACACCAGGAGCATTGATTTCCCCAAGGCCGGTACGCAGATCGTCGAGAGAACGAAGAGAACCTGAACGGCTGTTACCGCAGCTGGAACAATCTTTGCAGAGGGAGGTGTGTGATGAGGATAAGCGATCATAATATACTACTCACACCAGTGCCATTCAGTAGTAGGACCAGAGCACGTATTTTGACATCGAAGTAGCCGCAGGAAAAATACAAGTAGAAACATCGGAGTGCAGCATCGTACAAAATGGTCCCTAGTGCAAATGAGTGTTTTTGTTTGTTGTGCTGTTTAATCGCTTAACCCATGTGTTGCTTTCTTGAATAAATTACCCTTGTGCCATGCGCGTTTTTGGTTCACAAAACCACGACTGCCTGCCGGTGTGAAAAACACTTCTAATTCGGAAATTTTCAATATGGACCAGCCCCAACCAAAGAACAGATAGATAATCATTCATCGGTAGTCTTCATTCGGGGAGAAGGAATCGCTTGTTTTCACTTGCGCAGTATTGTTTATTGGCATGGGTATTCGTATGATTTCAAATGTATTAGATTCTTTGCTAATGTCGTCTATTCCAGAAGAACATTTTAATAGGATTGTAGCGCTTATTATAGAATTATCATTGTGTAACCCGTGTGAATCAGCCAGCTCAAGTTGTATGTCACTTTTTTTTATTGATGCAGCATTATGCTACATCTGTCTAATCTAGTTAAATAGCAACTATTGCTAGAATAATAAAAATGGTCTTACAACGAGGTGGTCTTTGTTCGGGCTGACCACGCAGGTGCAGACCACTGTGTTGAGGAAGTGATTGTTAATAAATTACAACTTAAAACATTTTGAGACATCATTGAACAGAACGTTATGTAAAGCTCTGTGAATACCATGTTTAGTGTGCGTCGCAGAGCTTTTCAGGACGTCAATAAGAACAAGAGATTAATTGGGCTTCAAGTCAGATGTATCGGTCTTTTTACCATAAGTTTCAAAATACCACCTCTCTTTTTTGATTGCCTAGCTCATTCACCCACAGTTGACTTCTACTTCTCCTCCCAGCTTCAGCTTGGATTACAGTGGTTGTCGACCTTACACTTATGTACATTTCTGCACATCAAATTCTACTTAATGTGAATGACTGTCTTCCTGGAGCTAAAACACTAAGCTAGTATGTTAACGATTGCCTGCTCAGGCTTTCCTGTGCATCGTCAAGCACACCAATTAGTTGATTGTTTTTCACTGATTGCAGGGCGATACGCTAGCCGGACTTTTCACTGTCTCGTTCGGTGTTCCACGTCGATCTCTTTCGCTGTTCTTTTGTCCGTTGTACTTTGTCCTGTCGTTTTAACAAATCCGAACTTTTGAGTTGTTTTTAGTCCATAAGAAAATTTATATTTGAGGGTTACCTGTTATTCACATCACATTTTACACATTTGTACTTTACAAGAGATTCCAAAAAAGGCGGATTGAAAAATGACAGCATGTGGACACGTTTACACTTTATAGATTTGCCGACGTGAGAATTCGAAAAGCTCCGCAGTTTTGAAGTAACGTTTAACATTTGTCAGTTTATCTGACACCTGAAAGTAATATCATGTTATCAATTATGCAGCTTCTCAGAATACTACAGTCATTGGAAATTTCTCAACTTATGTTTTTTTCTCTTATTTTTATGTAGATTCCATGCTCGCTCACTTGTGATGAAATTTGCTGCACACTGAAAATAGTTGCACTCTATCTTCGACTGTGAATTTATCAGATATTGCGATCTATCCACGGAAGAGACTGGATGAAAGCGACCGTGTTATTATGCCGTCCTTCATATCCACACCCCACACCCTACACAGCCCAGTGCTGATATCCGCTACAGATCCAGAGCTCCACCAACTTATCCAGCCGATCGATTCTCACTCTACTTTCCCCGCCATCCAACGTCAACTGTTGGTAGAACGAAAGACAACCATTGGAGCTGGCCACTTCACTGGTTAACTCAGAAGAGACCCAATTACGAAAAATCTGAACTTCGGCTGAATTCGAGCGAGCGACAGAAACGACATGCCCAAATGCTGAAATCGCTCTACCAGCTGAGCTACGAAGCCACGCCGGAAGCTCAGAATGCTCACATTTGGACCCCGTTACCCACCCAACCAACTGTGTCATATGGAATC